TGGGGGTGTTGGTCGACAGCCGGCTGAACATGAGCCAGCAGTGTGCCCAGGCCAACAGCATCCTGGCTTGTATCAAGAATGGTGTGGCCAGTAGGAATAGGGAGGTGATCGTGCCCCTGCACTCGGCACTGGTGAGGCCGCACCTTGAATACTGTGTTCAGTTTTGGGCCCTTCACTGCAAGAAAGACACTGAGGTGCTGGAGTGTGTCCAGAGAAGGGCAGACAGGACTGATGAAGGGTCTAGAGAACAAATGTTATGGGGAGCGGCTGAGGGAGCTGGGGTTATTTAGTCTGGAGAAGAGGAGGCTGAGAGGAGACCTTACTGCTCTCTACAACTACCTGAAAGGAGGTTGTAGTGAGGCAGGTGTTGGTCTCTTCTCCCAGGTAACTAGCAATAGGATGAGAGGCGATGGCCTCAAGTTGCATAAGGGGAGGTTTAGATTGGAAAATCTAAATTTCTTTACTGGAAGAGTGGTCAGGTATTGGAACAGGCTGCCCAGAGAAGTGGTGGAGTCGCCATCCCTGGAGGTGTTCAAAAAGTGTGTAGATGTGGCACTTTTTGGGACATGGTTTAGCAGGCATGGTGGTGTTGGGCTGATGGTTGGACTTGATGATCTTAGAGGTCTTTTCCAACCTTAATAATTCTATGATTTTGCCAAACCCAAGCAAGTAGATGCTGAGTTTTCACAGTGGGGAGGTTTACCATCAGAGTCTTGGAAAGATCAGCATTATGACCTTTTGTACAGCTTGATGTAGTTGTGAATGATCTAGGAAAAGGAGGAGGAACAGAAGCCACTTGCTGATTGTGCTAGGTTATGCAATGAGCTATGACGAAGATCAGCTGTCACAAACTGCTGAAAGACCTCAGCAACCTATGTTGACAAGGTGGTAAGAGGGCAAATGAAATTCACATTAAAGGGAAAAGACAGTTTCTTTCAAAACAGATAGAGTAGATATCAAAAGAGGTAGAAGAGGAGCCATGGTAGTGAACAGTGGCAAGGAGCAGCATCTTCATAAGGAAGGAGTAGATAGTGTAGGACTCTTGGCCTGAAAAAGAGACACTGAAGTGGGATCAGAGGAAGGTCTGTAAAATCACGAATGACATGGAAAAGTTAAATAAGCAAGAATTGTGCACCATCACTTCTATTTGTTAAACACTGTCAGAGGATAAACGGATTCAAAAAGCAATGGGACAGAGCCCACATTTAGCTGACAAGATCTGAACTACCATAATATTTTTTTCATTTTGTCACAAAAAGGTGAAATATACCCTAGGAGGTGCACTTTCTCTTAGTATTTAGCTGAACTAGAGAGCCCCCCATAGGTTAAGGGCTTAAAATTCCTGTCCTTCTTTTGTCTCTGTTTTTTGGCAGATGTGTTGGGTTTATTTGGTGGTGGTGGTGCTTGCCTGGGCTCAACCCTCCATCCCCCCCCCCCGAGGAGTTGTGTATCTTACTTCAGTGCCTAACTTGTTTTCAAGTGCTCATAGATTCACTTGTCAGAATTTTGTTCGCAAGTACTACCATTTAAAGAGTCTTTTGGTTCTGAACTATAAAGGGAGGTTCAAATGGTGAGAAGTTTTGGCTGACAGCCTTAAAAGGGAACTCCTGTGTTTGCACGGAGAATTAACCAAGTCCTATGCTGCTTCAGTGATTCTAGGATGACACTTTGGTAACTAGTGTCTGCCAGCTGGAAATTGGTAAAGGCATAGTCTTTGTTTTTTCTTATATCAGTGGTGTCAGCGCATAACTTTGAACCTGATCCTTCCATCATCTGAACCATTATACAAGTGTTGATATTTCAACCAAACATCACGCCTCAGCTAAGCTGTTTAGCAGGACATGTCTCTAAATTATGCTCTGTGACCAAGGCACCTACAGTTATTGTCCCAATATTTTTTCCCTTCTGTATTCCGTGTCTTCACCATTTTCAGTTAGGCTGGCACTTTTCCTTTTTGTCTGGCATCCAGTAACGTTCAAAAGGTAGGCAACGGAGATTTCCAGTTGAGGCTAAATTGCTTTAACTGTCACCTTTATGTTTTTTTTACCCTGCTGATTTATCAGTTTTGAGAGAAACTTCCTACGAAGAAGCTGTAGCGGCAAGAGGTGAACAGTCCATGGAAGCTTTAAAGTCCATGGACACAGTTCTTCCTCATTCATGGGAAAATGAGTTTACAGATTACTTTCTAGCATAGAGGAGAAACAAGATTGATGTCTATTGTAAATTTTAAAATACTAAGTGCTTTCATGTCCTGGCTGTGGTTTAGGATTGGTGCTACTTTTGTCATTGCACCAGGCAGATTAGATGCTTTTTCCCAACTTTCAAGACTTCAAAATACCAAGCAGGTCTCCCTGCTGGAAGGGTCTTCCAATTCACACTAAATCATGACCATCACCTATAATGTGCTTTTGTTTTTCCTGGACTGTGGGAGTCTTTTTCAGTTTCAGTTCATGAGGTCCTTACTAGTGTTTGAAGAGACTCAGTCAAGAGAGCTTATTTTACCATACAGTTGTTCTCCAGTTCAAGAGAAACATTTTTTTTATGCAGTTATGATAAGTGACTGATTATACTTCAAGGGTTAGGGTTTACCTACTTGGTTCTGCAAAGTTTCATCAGAGTGCTCTGTCTGCTTACGGGGCTCTTGTGGATGTATTCTCAGTGTTTACCCACCTCTTGACCATGAAAGTCTTCAAATAATGGTGTGCTAATGTATTTTTGTTTACTATTCTAATTAAAAGAAAATCAACCGAGATCCTAGGTGTACATACAATGGTTATGAGTTAAGGTAAGCTTGTGCCTCTATAACAGATAAAAAGTAATAAGTAAAAAAATAGGTTTTATTTAAGCTATTAGTTAAGAGAGTAAGTACACCCAAACCTTGGTTGCTCAGCTATTTGGTCAGGATGACAGATGTGCAATTGGAATACTGCTAAAAATTGGAGTATCCTCTAAGATGTGCTGCTAAGACCCACTCCTATGAGATTTCAGCTGTTAAGTTTTCTTAGATCTCTGTTGGGCAT